CTTCCCTAGGTCTTACCACAGTCTCTCTCTTGCCCCGTAAGATCCGTCTGCCCTCTCCCTGGTTCACATAGTTCACTCGACCCCTGCCACCCCATCTGTGCCACTCGAAGCGTTATTCGCCCTCCCCTGCGTCTCGGTGACTAATTCTAGGCGATTCAACAAGTCCTTTCCATACATTTTAGCTCACCCTTCTTGTATCACATGAAGAGAAAAGCCCCATTAATTTAACTGGATTTGTGTCCGGCATTATGCGATAAGATTAATGGTTAAAGAATAAAGAAAATGGGGTAGGGGTGGTAATTTAACCTTGTTGATCGAGAGTAGGCATTACTTTCTATTCTAATTACTTTGAGCCATCACTCATGTCTTAGTACATGTACGAATACATGAAGGCATATAGGAACATGTCTCGAGATTCCCTTGAACTAACCAAATTACTTAATAGCTGACCAAAAAGCAAAGGTATGGGGTAAATATACTGAATCTTTGGATAAGCCGATGCGTTCTCTTGACTTGTTACATTAAACATGCTTGAAGGAATGATGTCAAACTCTAATGACTTCCAGCATATGACAAAGGAAAGCTTAACACGCTTTCACCATAATCGAGGGAAATTGCCTCAGAAACTACGTCAGCAAAATGCAATCGACAAACGGCCAAAAAGTTTAATAGAGGTTGCATGACCTTGTTTTCGCAACATGGTCATATTGGTAGGAAGACTTAGAGGAAAGCACCTAGTCCGAAGTCCATTGTCTGCATGATCATTTCCTAGGTTGAACCGTGAACAAGAATTAGTCACCCAGACGCAGGGAAGGGCGAATAACGCCTCGAGTAGGACAAATGTGGTGGCAGGATTCGAATGAAATAGGTGAACGAGGGGTAGAGCAGACCGATTTTACGGAGCAAGAGAGAGACTGGGATAAGACTAGAAAAGAGGACTGCATAATAATAAAACAGACTCTGATCAACATTCCCTGCACAAGGATGAAAGGGGGGGGGTGAGAACGACAGTTGGAGTGTGAAGGTTTTATGTTGCTCAAGGGAGCACACCACATTATATCTTAATAAACACGGTAAAAATTGTAGTAGTAGGCGTGATATGATGCTCCTGAAAACGCGAATAATCCAGGGCAGAAGAGGAGATACCACAATTA